GTAGTACATTATCTCTAGCAAGTCTTTTCTAGGTGCCCTTAATCATGGGGTGATCAAAATTAAAACAAAAAATGTAGCTAAGAGAAAACACCTCCTGCAATTGTGGAAATGACATATCTTTTATTTTAATATATTACTCCCTTCGTCCGATAATATAAGAGCATTTTGTACACTACACTAGTGTATAAAATGCTCTTATATTATGCGACGGAGGGAGTACCTTTTAGCTAAGAGAAGGCAAACTTTTTTTTCTATGTCTCTGTTCCAACTCAGCAATCACCCTTTGTGGCATTAGCATCGTTGAGATTATACTATGTATCTTTAGGCGTTACTAAAAACATGGGTATAAGATTATACAAAAACAAGGGTAACATGAATTTTCTATATCTAAATAAAACTCCACTATTAAATTTATTTATATATGTGTGCTTTTACATCACCTCAATTATTGACGGTCATCCGGTCGAAATTGTGTGGCATGAACAAGTCATTCATGTGCTCATCAATTACTTTTTTACCTTAATTTATCCATCCAAACTTTGCCACCCCAAGTCATACATGCCTTTTTTTTCTTCAAGTAATGCATTTATTCATTTACATTTGTGCATTAATCTATCAATTCAAATCGGCGCCTCACAAGTCAATCATGTCTTTTTTTTCTCTTTGTATACAACATTTTGTGGCGTACTTCTTAGGGTTTATTATTTTCAAAATGTATAATAGAAACACTCTTGCATTTGCTTTCCGTTACTTTTAATTAATTTTAATCATCTATTAATGCATTTGTTTTAACATGGTTCCTACGGCAAAATGCGAAGCATCATCTTGTAAAAGTTAAAAGCTAGTACCTTATACATGTAGTGACTAAGGCTGGTCACAATGGGCAAGAACATAAACTAGTAACTTACACACTTCCCTAGACTATGTTACTATCTCCATAGTGGGTAGGAACATCTCTGTAGTGTCATGCAATGATGTATTTATTAGGCTATAGACTCATTATTTCTTGGAGTGTGTGATGTTCCGGTAACTTAGCTAGTTACCACAAGCACATCTCACTTTATTAAATATGTGCCACATAAGCAAAGTTGTATTGGAGTGTGTGATGTTACTCCTAAGTTCCTCCCCATTGTGACCAGCCTAACCATTTTCATTGATTGATACATGCAACGGTGCACGCCTCCACCAACCCCCCTTTTGTTGACTTTGGACCCATAGTTGGCTTTTTCTATGAAGTCAAACTTAAGAGAAGGAGTAGTACACTGTATATATACTACTCCCTCCTTCCATCTATATAGGGCCTAATGCATTTTTTAAGACCGCATTTGACTATTGACAAGATTAATAATACATGACATGCACAATGTGAAAATTATATCATTGAAAACTCCTTTCACATACGAATTTAACGGTGTGCTTTGTGTAAGTTGCATGTCATATATTATTACTCTAATATTTGGTCAAAATTAGCCTCGAAAAACGCATTAGACCCTATATAGATGGAAGGAGGGAGTACTACTAATGAAACACCTTGTTTGTGACGTAATGAAACACCTTCTTGGAAAGCAAGTAGTAAAACAAGTCCTTTATTTCTGGACACACCTTCCGTAGGGTGCCACTACCCCGATTTCTTTGCCTTGATCAACAAGTCATTTTGCCACATCAGTCAACTATAGTTGCACTCCAACATTTATTGTCACAATGATTTCTTTGCCTTGATCAACAAGTCATTTTGCCACATCAGTCAGCTATAGTTGCACTCCAACATCTCTTGTCACAAGTTAAAAAAAAATCTTATCACAAGCAGATTAGAGCCGATAGACACGAAACATATAAAATGTTGAGAAACCCCGCTCCAAGTCAATGCAGAGGAAGAAGGGCTTGTACTCCAAGTAGCCCGGAAAGAGTAGTTACAAATTCAATACTATCATTCTACCAACACTCACGGTGGCTGGTTATCACCCATGTAGGCTTGGTCTGGAAATTTGCATACCTACCATAACTGTTATGACTCCCACTTCCAATTTGGGATTTCGGTCTGCTTAGTTTTTTTAGACAAGTCTGGTTTTAGTGGGGCCGGGCTAGGGGCCATAATTTTTGGTCTTGGGCTGGGCTTAGGCTTGGCAATTGAGGGGCATCCTTTTGCAAGCCCAGCCCAAAAGTCAATTTCCATTTACTTTTGATCTATTAAAAAAAACCTTTCTCAGGGGAGGAATAGATTCATCCAATTTATTAAGAAAAAATTTATATGAAGGCACGAAACACCCTTTAAACTGATCTCAAGGTCACAGTAGATGAAGAAAAAATGAACCACCAAATGCACCGACAGTCCATGTGAATATCAACAAAGAAAAATATCCACCGATCCCCAATGAGCATAGAAGACGCTTTGTGCAACAGCACAACACCACACCATATTAACCATCGCCGCCAAAATGGGGGAGATGAACCAAACTTGCAAAGAGAAGCGGTTTGGGACGCACCAAGAACCCGACATTCACGACGAAGAGTGCATGCCTCCAGACCATACGTCATCCAAATTAGGGCACTAGGGATCTTGGACCTCTTTTTAGCTCCAAGTGGCTCTAGGGTCAAGTTCGAGGAGTCGCATTATGATTACGGCCAACCTCGAACATGAGTTCGGGTGAGGGTTCAAAGGAGTCAAGGAGTCATGTTGCACTCCCAGCCTTTGACCGTGCAATTCCACCCAGGCCTTCTTGAATAGGATTAGGCCGCGCTCTCAAGGCGGCCTATTTAAAAATAGCATTGTGTTATTTCTGGTCGCGTACGACAATCTTCGCATAAGGCCGTCATACACACGTTGGCTAACTTTACCTATGATCGTGCTTCGAATACCCCCTAGTCAAAAGTTGTTTCCGTAACAAAAACAAGTATATTACAACATATTCGAATTCTACATTTTTTATATATTTTTACAGTTGACAAAATATATTTTGACAATGTGCTATACGCACAATTAGTTGTAGCTTTGTTTCTGCTACAGAAGAGGAGTAGACCGCTATTGTACGATTGAAGTGATGTATGGCGATGACTTGGTGAAGGGGTTTACAAGGTTCCAAGCAAGCTTTGTGGAATTGTCTGGCCCATTAGAAATTGGTTTGCGTGCGAGAACTATTTCTCGCTGTATCGAGATGTAACTCGGACTCGCCTCTGGGCGCATGGGAGTGGGCTGGCCCATTACTATAGCGCCTCTGGCATGAGTATCTTTTCTCTGTGTCTTTATCTTCTCAGTTTTCATTGTCAACGGATTCTCTTTGGTTTTCTCTATTTTCAGTTTTTTTGTCTCTTTATTCTTTTTTCTTTGTTTTTTTTGTTTTGTTTGTTTCTTTCTTCAGTTTTCACCGTTTCTCTTCATTTTTTTAATTTTTTCAACACATGTCTAATTTTTTTCACACACTTGTATAATTTTGTATACATCAGATAATTTTTATACATGTTTAACGTTTTTCTAATAAATGACTAACACATATTCAAATATAAGTTTTGATGTCTACTTTTTTCATACTTATTGTATATTTTTCATATACATCTGAAACAATATTTTTATACATGTTTAACATATTATCAAATACATGACGTTTATAAAATACATGATTTTGAGCATTTTTTCTAATACATGTTAAAAAAAATCAAATAACTAATGAAAAATTTGAAGTATATGAAACATCTTTTTAAACAACACAATTTCTTTTCATTATATTTTTTTAAACGTCCCAAACATATTTTTATATGTAAGAACATTTTTACATTTAATATACATGTTATTTAGTGGCATGAAACATTTCCTTTGAATAAGAATTTTTTTGTACTAACATTTTTTAATACCACATACACTGTTTTGTAATGCTTGACCATTTTTATAATGTCAAAAAATAGTGCTATCAATTTTTTTAATGGTAACAACTTTTTTACACTGTGTTAACTTTGAAAATTCATGGCTTTCAAAAAAATAAGTTTTGAATATAAGTATTTAAAAAATTTAAAAATATACACCAAAAAATGCACAAATAAAAAAAAAACAGTGAGGACAAACAAACTTGAAAGCAACTTGGGAGGGCTCGTTATTTTTTAGGGGTATCGCCAATTTTATTACTGAAAAAACACATGAGTAGAATACAAAATAGAACATGGGGTTGGATCAGGGGAGGGCTCATTGGCAACGCAGGGGGCGAGACAAAGCCGCTCCCAGCAATAAGGGCATAGCGCTCAGTTCAGGTGCGTCCCACAACATGGGCAGTCCTAGTAACACTTTCTTTTTTGTACTATTTGTTTTTGATATTGTTGTTATTTTTCTCTAGCTATTCACTTATTTTTATTTTTTATATTCTTTTGGCTAAAGTATACAAATGTTGCATGAAATACATGAGCACTGATGTAAACATTTATTTTCACATATAAGAAGACTTTCCAAAAAATATGAATAGTTTTCTAGTACATGAACATATGTTTTGATGCATAGGTGTAGCATAAGCTCTCATATTAAATGTCTGATACCTCTCATAAAATTAACAGTATAATCTCACATTTGTTGAAAAATGTTCTGGGCACATCATTGTCATGTGAGAATCGTTTCGTTAATTCCATTGTTAAACAATATATGTTCAATACTCATATTATTAGAAGAATTAAGATAAATATAACCACATAAGAATATGTCTACCAGGGAAAAAATTAAAACACATATATGTATATGTATGTGGTAAAATAATAGCCGAGAACAGAGAAACAGACACAAGAACCCAGAAAAAAACAAATACATGTCCATTTTTTAGAAAGATATAAATACATGTCCTACGCAAGAAGACGGCGCCATGAAACATACTCCCTCCGTAAACTAAGAGCGTTTAGATCACTATTTTAGTAATCTAAACGTTCTTATATTAGTTTACAGAGGGAGTATTCTAGCTTCTCGCCTCGAGCTGCCACACTCGCTGCAGCAATGGTGGTACTGGTATGTGGACAGTCCGGGTTTGTTTGAATCAATGGAGCACGACGCTGACAGGCCTATCAAAGATCCAGCTAAACGGGACCGGGGTGGGCTCCTTTCGCACCCTGTCATGGGCCCTCTCCTCCATCCGCCGGATCTTCTCCGGCAATGCGCAGACGTAGTCCCGCGCGCGCCTCCCCTCGCCGGACAGCCCCGTCGAGAGCTCCTCCACCCGCCACTGCCGTATGAGGTGCTCCAGGATGCCGCGGTAGTCCGACGCGGTATACACCCCGGCCTGCTGCGCGGCGGCGGCGTAGTGCGCGAAGAGGTCGGCGTCGCGGCCGTCGTCCATGAGCGCGGCTGGCATGGTGATGCGGCGCCGCATCATGTACTCCATGGCGCGCACGGCGGCGTCCGGGTCAACCTCGAAGAGCTTCGCCACGACGCGCGTGTAGGCCGCCTCGTGCCGCTTCTCGTCGGAGGCGATGGCGCCGCAGATGCGCGCGAGCGCGGCGTCGCCGTGCGCGCGCACCTGGCGCGCCGTGTTGCCGTGGGAGATGGAGGTGGCGCGCTCCTGGAAGGCCACGTAGATGAAGCCGTGGTAGGGGCTCGCCGGCGCGTGCATGGCCATCCCGGAAGCGATGAGGCGGTGCACGGTGCGCTCCACCTGGCGCATGTCGAGGCGGCCGGAGAGGTACATGTAGCGGCTGAGCACGTCGCCGTGGCGGTTCTCCTCGGCGGACCAGCCGCGGATCCAGCGCGCCCAGGCGGTGCCGTCGGCGCCGGTGGCGTCGCGGGTGCCCTCGAAGCGGTTGGACATGCTCTGGTACGTCGGGAGCGCCTCCTCCGTGACCATGTTCCCCACCAGGCACACCAGGTGCGGGTCTGGCACGCCCTCCGCCCTGGCGCGGAGCTCGATGCACGCCGCCTGGAAGCCGTCCGCGCCCAGCGCCGCCGCGTCCGGGAGCATGTCCGCCGGCTGCCACGCCTCGTCCACCGGCTTGAGCAGCGGCAGCATGTTCGCCTCCGCCCACGGCTCCAGCTGCGCCAGCACCTCCAGCCTCTCCGGCGCAAGGTACCTCCTCCATTCCTCCTCCTCCTCCCGCCGTCCGGCCGTCGGACCTCCTCTGCTGCTCACGGCGCTCCTACACCTCCTGTCCCCCATGCAGAGTTTAATTACTGTATCATGCATGCATGCATGCACTTACGCCACCACATGTGTTCTCAAAACAAAAACAAAATATTCATCACTCCAATCCACTTACAAGGTGCTCATCGGAGCTGCGGCCGGTGGCTTGCAGTAGCAGCTGGTGTTGCTTGGTTTGCACGACGAAGGGTATCCGGTCGACCTAGGCGACATTTTTACTGCCGTCGCCGCCGTCGCCATGTCCGTATCAGATCAGATGAGGATGAACCAGATCAAATGGAAGCAGGCAGCCTCGCGTATGTATAGACGAGACGTACCCTACCACCCACCCTGGTTGGCAACGAGTTACTGCATTCGCAAATTAGGAAGATATCATTGTACTCCAACATGTACTGCAATTTTGAGCACTACTCTTTTTAGTACACGTTAGGCGTTGCTCCTGCATGCTGGGACACAAGTGGTGCATTAACGTACATTAATGGATGATGAAACCGTAGCTCAGATGCACATTTAAACATTTTGAAGCAGCATTTATCCGGTTGCCTGCCGTTTTTTGGATTGGTGCGTGGTAACTTTGCATGCCCACAGAGATCCATCACATGGCAGGCATTTTGCTCCGAGCAACATTTGTAAAAAGCAATTTCGTTTCCATGATCGATCCACGCATACGTGTTACTTCCACAGCCTCGCCTCGGTATGCGGAGCAACCATTGTTTGACTGCTCGATGTGGTGTTTGTGGAGGCCACGTAGACACAGGTTTGCCACGCTGCGTCTTACCAACGCAGATTCTTCTTCTCGTACGTCTCTTTTGTTCTCCTCCAAGCGTTATAAGAAAAGGTATAGGGATAATCGTCAACTGAGACAAACTAGTTTTCGTTTTTTGACAGTGTGTCTTTCAAGATGAGCAGTTGGCTGTTTATTAGCAGCAGTGCTAGACGTACGAAGGTTTACTTTGATTTTACCGGCTAACTAAACTGAACCAATAGAATTGAAGATTAGGGGGTGTTGGCCCCACCCCGACTGAAAATCAGGAGGGAGAAAGATTAGTTAGGTATAGATCGTGTAAAACACTTGTAACACGTCCGTGTGTGTAGTATTATTATTCTGCATCATGCTTCAATTCCTTCAACTCGTGGTATCAACGTTGATGGATTACGCATGTACAACTGTGTTATCTTAGGGCATTTACAATAATGCTATCTTAGGAGTGCCACATAGGATAAACGATGAGGTGGAGGAGAGAGAACTCATAAGAAAGGCTTGTCTTTTCTTATTTAAAAGAAGGCAAGAGATGATCTCTTAGCATAATATGCCTCACCTGGTTTTTAAGAATTACTAGTTATTGGAGATAAGGCTAAGAGATGACCCATTGTAGACACTTTTTTTTGTCATCACTAAATTACATGCAAAACCTAAGATAAGACTATCTTATCAATCATTGTACATGGCCTTAGAAGTGTCATGTAGGATAAAAGCTGAGATGCAGGGAAGAGAAACCATAAAAAAGGTTTATCTTTTCTTATTTAAGAGATGATTTCTTAGCACAATATGTCTCACCATGTTTTTAAAAATAACTAGTTATTGAAGATAAGGTTAAGATATGACCTATTGTAGACATGTTTTCTTGTCATCTCTAAATTACATGCAAGACTTAAGATAACACTGTCTTATCAACCATTGTACATGCCCTAAATCTATACTGCTGGGATGATGATTTAATCAATATTTCTTCGACGGTTTCTATATCTCATCCTAAGTGATGAGTGGCTATTGTGTGGCCTAGTATGGCGTGGGTGTTTGTACGTGTTTCTTTAATATATTATCAGTTCAATGTAATTCTCAATCTACGACATGCGGCGCACACTCGAAGGAAGATGAAGTCTAGAATGATTTTCAATTAAATTGTACTCCCTCCGTCTCATAATATAAGACGTTTTTTAGCAAAAAACGTCTTATATTATGGGACGGAGGGAGTATATTTTTAGTGATTGGCATGCGTTCCGTTATTGTTTTATTTTATTTTTGATGATAATGTTTGTCTTTATTATACTGGCTATTGCTTTCCGTAATAGTCAGATGTAAAATGTCTTTTTTTATATAAAAGTTTAAAAGAAAAAGTAAGAAAAACGATCGGTGTCAATCACGAGTTCATGGCAAAGAAATATATACAGCACAAATTCTGCGGTGAACGGCGTGAATATAAAAATGCTACATGTACGAACTGTCAGGGAGCTTTACAGGGTGTGAATATTAAATGTGAGTCCTGAGCACATTTGAATTTGTCGGTTTTTTCCCTAGCGTAAGTCCGGTCCAAGTCTGACAAGAGTACTGGGGCAAGCAATTAACAGCTAATGTACCCGAAATGACAAAAGTAGGTCCACTGAGCGAGTGATCGAAATGGCATATGTGGGCCGTCGGCATTATTATCATAAAACCGAGGGACCAGTGATTGGTTGATTTCGATTTTAAGGGGCCGGCACAGAGCCCACCGGGCAGTGGTGATCTGGGATTGGGATGGCATCATCCTGAATTGAACGGGAAACCTCCAGCACGACGTGCCGCTGTTCGTCTGATCCGGTCACACGCTGGATGGAGCAGGCTGGACGCCTGGACGCGGTTGGTGACGGCGGCTTCGGCGGAGGACACCATCACACCAAGGACGGCTGTTGTGCACCGGGGAAACGACGCTCGATTGACCAAGCTGCAGGGAGGTGATTTGGCACCTCCCTCCCTCCCTCCCCTCCCGGGGAGGAAAATGATTTTAACAGCACCCCGCAAAAAAAATGATTTGAGCATCTCCAACAGGTGTATAAAAATTCCGCACCTTTTAGAGCGTCGAACCCAACATTACTTTATCAGATGCCTAAAAACGCGTGCCAAAAAAACACGCAGTGTAAATTGTGAAGCACGCGCAATTCGGCGTCTCAAATTTGCAGCATGTGATAGCGTTTTCAGCGTGAGTTCAACCCTTTTTTACGCTCGCACTATTTTACAGATTTCGCTGGAGCTGTTCGGCGCACAAAAACCTGAATTTTAGCACGCGGAGCAGTGTTTGGACGCCTGTTCAAGATGCTCTAACAATGGGGATATGCAGCGGCCAAGAATCAACCGTTGAAAGCTTGTTTTGAAACTCGTGACAGTGATGCATGAGACAATACGACTGGTGCATGCCAGTGGCTTATTTTAATCTACTTATTTTAAATTATGAAAAAAACTAATCTACTTATTTTAAAAACAGATTTCACTCATTTGAACAAAAAAAATGCTAAATTAAGAAAAGATGCTTCATTCATCTGAAAATACATACTTGACTCTGTATAAAAAAGATTACACTTATTAAAAAATAGTCTTTTCAGAAAAATAAATACATTCAATTAACAAAACATATTTCACTAATTTTAAAATAGGTTTCACTCATTTCGAAAACTATTCCAGTCATTTTAAAACATTGATTTAGTTTGTAAACACATATTTTAGTCATTTCAAGAACTAGTTTGACTAGTTTTAGAAAACTAATTTCACTCATTTCAGGAAACTCATTTCACTCTGTTCAAAAACTAATTTTAGTCGTTTCAAAAAAATGATTTCATACATTTCAAAAGAAAATTTTAACTTAATTAAAACATATTTCTCTTATTTTAAATATATATTTGACTCAATCAAAATATAGATTTTAGTTATTTTAAAAAAATCACTCATGAAAAAAAATCTTATTTCACCCATTTTAAACACTGATTTCAGACGTTTTAGGAAACTTATTTCACTCATTTGTATTAAAAGACATGCTGGAATTCTTTTGAGCAGCAAATTTAGAAAAAACAAAATGAAATAAGAAACTTCACAAAAGAAACTCGTTTCAATTATTGGCTACTAGGAAGTTTACCGCTTCTATCAGTTTCACATTTTTTTTAAAGAATTCACTCATTTTAAACATTAATTTCACTCATTTCAGAAAAAGAATTTCACTCGTTTCCAAAAGAACTGTAGCATGCTATTATATTTCAGAAAAAGAATTTCACTCAAACGTATCTATAGTTATTTATTGCTTCATGCTACTATATCATCATTTTTATATAATTTATAGCATTTTATATTAATTTTATGGACTAACATAATTTAGTGCGAAGTGTTAGTTCATGTTTTCTGCTTGTTTTTGGTTTCACAGAAATACGTTGCCGATTTAGCACCGTTTTTTGGACAACAAGAAACACAGGAAGCTTCGGGAGAGATCGAGACACACACCGATAGGCTCACACGGAAAGGTGGCACCAGGGTGTGGTCGCGCCCCTTGCTCGTGTGGGGCTCACATATACCCGTTGACCATATTCCACCGTCATAAATCTCTATAATACAAAAACCATTCGTCGTTGTACCTTCAGAAGAATTTTATCGCCGCCGCAAGCCTCTATTCCGAAGAGATCTCATATTGAGCCCTGCTTCAAAGCCCTGCTCGAGGAGGAAGCCATTGCTGAAGCCATCTTCATCAACATTCCTACCTCCATGACCATGCGTGAGTCATTTCTTTAGGACCTACGGGTCCATAGTAGTAGCTAGACGATTCTCTCTCTCTCTCTCTCTCTCTCTCTCTCTCTCTCTCTGATCTTCAATACCATGTTCTCATTCTTGATCTAGATCAATTCGATGTAATCGGTGGTGTATTTGTTGGGACAATTGTCACTTTATGACCAGATTGTTCATTGAAATCAACTGGATATATTTGGGTTTTGTTGCTGCATAACTAAAGCTTTGTATTGCTTTCCGATCTATCTATCTTCTTTGGCCAAGTTTGATTATTTTTCTTTAGCGAAGTGGTGATTTGTAGTGGGCTCAATCTTGCGGGGCTCTAACCTAGTGACAATAAGTGCCAACGCACGCACTGTATAGTTGTCACTAAGGGTAAAACGATGGGGTTTGGTCATATTGATGTTGATTTCTTCCTACCTAAATTGTGTCATCTTTCTTATTGTGATACTTTGTTTCTTATAAACTCAATACCTTGAGATGCATGCTGGATAGTGATTTTGGGGTGGAGTATTAATAGTAGATGTTGTTGGATTAACGGTCTACTTATCACAAAAGTAATACTTATATGAGATTATGTCATGAATGATCATAGTCATAAATATTGCAATCTTTTCAATTGCCCAACAACAATTTATTTAGCATGACATTCACATGTTTGAGAGAGAGAGAGAGTTTGATTATTTTTCTTTAGTGAGAGTGGTGATTTGTAGTGGGCTCAATCTTGCAGGGCTCTAACCTAGTGACAATAAGGGCCAGCGCACGCATTGTATAGTTGTCACTAAGGGTAAAACGATGGGGTTTGGTCATATTGATGTTGGTTTCTTCCTATCTACATTGCGTCATCGTTCTTATTGTGATACTTTGTTTCTTGTAAACTTAATACCTTGAGATGCATGTTGGATAGTGATTTTGGGGTGGAGTATTAATAGTAGATGATGTTGGATTAACGGTCTACTTATCACAAAAGTAATACTTATATGAGATTATGTCATGAACGGTCATAGTCATAAATATTGCAATCTTTTCAATTGCCCAACTGCAATTTATTTAGCATGCCATTCACCTGTTTGAGAGAGAGAGAGAGAGAGAGAGAGAGAGTCACTAGTGAACCTATGGCCTCTCTTCTTAAATTCTTCTACAAAAATTGTGTCTTCTTATTTGTTGTTTCACCTCAGTATTACCTACTCCCTCCGTCCGGAAATACTTGTCGGAGGAATGGATGTATCTAGACGTATTTTAGTTTTAGATACATCTATTTTTATGCATTTCTCCGACAAGTATTTTTGGACGGAGGGAGTATATCTATTTGCTTTTAATCTTATAACTAGCAAGATAAGGTCTTGACAACCCCATGCCACGTTGGTTACAAGTTTCTGTTTTAATTTGTGCGCGCGTGTTGTTTATCTTGTTATCTTAGAAGCTCTTACTAATTCGATAAACCTTGGTTCTTAACCGAGGGAAAACTTTATTGTTGTTCTACTTCACCCTTCCTCTGTGGGGAAACCCAATGACTCTTGCAGGAGTAGCAAAAAATATGAAGTTAGTGTTGTGTCTTGTTGAACAACTGTCTGGACTAAAAATTAACTTCCAGAAAATTGAACTGTCCGGTTTTGGACGCGCCTAAGAGGAATAGAATAACTATAGACAGTTATTTGATTGTGATATTGAATCTACCCCGTTTAGTTTCGTAGGGAATTCCAATTCCTCAACGAAAATCAATGAACAAAGAATGGAAATGTATTGAGGATAGATTTGAAAGAAAGCGTAGCTATTGGAAGGGCAATCTCATGTCCTATATATGGGGTGAGATTGATACTTGTAAACTCGATGCTTACGAGTATGCCTATGTTCATGTTCTCTTTCTTTGAAATACCAGTAAGGGTATGAAAATGATTGGACTTTAGATCGTGTATCTTTTGGCAATGTGATGAGAATAGAACAAAATGTAGGCTCGTCAAATGGGATATTTTGTGTAGACCAGAGGACCAAGGAGTTTGAGTGCTGAAAACTTGGAGGTTAAGAACAAGTGTTTGCTTAGTAAATGGCTTTATAGGCTACCCTCGGAGGAGGAAGGGGTATGGATATGTTAGTGCGTAATAAGTACCTACAATCCAAGACCTTATCTCAAAACGACACAACCGAGCGATTCACCATTTTGGAAGGGATTGATGTGAACGAAAGTCGCCTTGTTTAATAGGGGTAGGTTTATTACTGGAGATGAGTGTAGCACTCGGTTTTAAGAGGACATTCGGCTGAGAGAGACGCCTGTAGCCTTGCAGTATTCAACGCTTTATAATATTGTACATCGTAAGGAGAACTATGTGAGAACATTATTGGGATCAGTTTCCCTAAATATCTAGTTAAGGCGAGCACTGGTTCGAAAAAGATGGGACGAGTGGCTGCATTTAGTTCGAAGGTCGATAGAGATCACCTTATCTAATGAGTCGGATTCATTCCGATGGTCTTTATCTTCTTCAGGCATATTTTTTGTTAAATCAATGTATATGGACAATACTAGACCAGTCCCATGATCTATGCATATCTGAAAAATAAAAGTGCCTTTAAAGATTAAGATTTTTCAGGTGGTTTGTACATATGTGGGAAGGTAGTAAACATTGTTGTTTCACTGACCATGAGGAAAAGTTTCAGCACGTATTCCTTAATTTCCTACTTGCCAATCTTCTATGGCGAATAATACATGTGTCTTTTAACGTACCTCCACCTAATAGTATATCAAACATGTTTGGTAAATGGTTAGGCAGGGTAGAGCGGAGTACGGTGACACAAATCCACGTGGGACTTTGTTCATTACTTTGGGCTATTTGGAATTGTTGAAACGATTGTGTGTTTAACATAATTTTTTTTGCGGGTTATCTTTTTTGACAAAAGGAATATATTAATAACACGGAGATACATTTTGTAGGTTATCTACCGAACGTATAGATGGATTCGTACGTGGTCATTACTTATGGCCTATGGATACAACTAATGGGAGACGGTAATATGAGCTACGTACAATCGGTTTCGATGAAAGTCCAATAATAGGATATGTGTGCATGCATGACATCCTATTTTTGCCGATTGTGGCCTTTCATCCTGTAATAGATTGCGACCCGACACAATGACACTATATAAATGTAGGTTGTCACTGTAATGTTTCTCCTAAATGCAAACCTAAGCATTGGCAGACCCTGTTCTTTTAGCCACTCTTCTTCTTTGCTGCTTCCTATTCGAGGGCTTGTTGAATAGCAAGGTGGGCTTTATGCCTGTTTTCTACACGAAAGAAAATTGTTCTGGCAGCTCAGGAAGACCCGGTGGTGCCACGAGATGGTCGAGCTGGTGCTGTCTGGCATATAAAATTGTTGTAAGTGACTGCATAATTAAGAAGACTTCTTCATAGTTAAGTGAACCAGAAAACTGAGGCCACGAGAAAAGCAGCAGGACTTACTTCGGTCGATGTCCTTGCCTGCCCACTTGTGCCAGATGCCTGGAATACAATAGGCGGCTCTTCACTCAGCTGCTCGAGCTCTACCATGGCGGATGAGCCCGCCGTATGGAAAATACGTGTTCCTGTTCCACAGGTTGATCCCAGCAGTGTTGATGTGCACAGCCCCTGGGGCGGCAAGCCGAACGGTGGCCTCTCCAGAGGGACGTCTGGCGACGGCGCCAGCTTCGTGACCACCCTCACCACCGTCGCCATGTTCGGCCGGTCGGCCGGGTTTGGGTTGGTGCACGCCAAACCAAGCAGCAGCAGCCGTCTGGCGTCGTCGGCATCGAAGCCGGCAGCCGCGAGCACATCGTCCACGGCGTTAATCAGTACTCCCCTCCGGTGAAGCTGCCAGACCCAGACACACATGATGCTATCCGATGGGACGTCCTTATGGAGTGCCGGCTTGCCGGTGACGATCTCAAGGGCGACCACCCCGAACGCGTAGACGTCCGTCTCCCTTGTGGCCTTGTAGCTGCACGCGTAGTCCGGCGATATGTAGCCCGGTGTCCCGGCCAAGCCGGTGACCGAGTTCCGGTCGAGGCCAACCGCGCGGGCAATGCCGAAATCTCCCAGGCGGGCGCGGAACGCGGAGTCGAGCAGGACATTGCTCGCCTTGATGTCACGGTGGAGCACCGCGGGCTCGTACTCGTGGTGGACGTAGTGCAGACCGGTGGCTATATCCTTGACGATGTCATACCTTGTCTCCCACCGGAGGAAGCGTGTCCTTGTTGGATGGAACAGATGTTGGTCCAGGCTGCCGTTAGGCATGAGCTCGAATATGAGTAAGGGCACGCCTGAGTGGTAAGACCAGCCTGAAATGATATGCCATAATGTATTTGTTACCAACTGTTGCTTTTACAATTTGTTGACAAAGGATCAACATATATATTCAACAGTTTGTTTATATATAATAACAGCAGAACTATTAACCATCAATCGACATGACAGATTTTGTCGTGGAAAGGTCACGACAGATGTCCTAACAAAAAGACTTAGTTGTAGAGTCATCGCAACTAGGTAGCTAAAGGGGTTAAACGGGACAAAGGACACGGGAGTTTATACTAGTTCGGCCCCTTGCGGTGAAGGTAAAGGCCTAATCCAGTTTGAGGTGGTATTGCTTATGTCTCGATTACCAGGAAGCGAATTCGCTTGACCTATCTTTCGATCTGTTGTTTCTTGTCTTGAACCGCCGCCGGGTCGTCCCTTTATATACACAGGTCGACGCTCAGTGGCTCACGGAGTCCCGGCCAGCTCATAGACAATGTGTCCGGCTCGGTTACTATCTATACAAGCCTTACGATTCAAGTCTTACATATATAGCGGTTTATCTCTACGGGCCTTAAGTCGTCCTTTGGGCCTTGGGCCCTGACCTTGAACCGCCATCTTAATATCTTCGTGGGCTTCAATGATGAATCATCATAGGTATAACCCGGCCCCTCCTGGGCGGGTCATACCTAATTGTTATATCCCCAACAAATTTGGACATGCATTCTTTGAAATTACGTTGGCCCGCGCTAGGTTTCCCTCCCCGCGCCGCCACCCGCGAGGCGGCCGGCGAGGGCCCCCAGATCCGCTCGCCGCGCACCTCCCCTCCTCCTCCCTCCTCCCTCGCCGCCGCCAGGGGGCGTGGCCGGGCGAAGCCCGACCGGCACCGGCGGCGGCGGGGCCTGGTCTTCCCCCGACGCGACGGGGCGGCGCGGGCCGCTCCTTCGGGTGCCGACGCGGTGCAGGCGCGGGGCACCGCAGCGTGGCGGCGCACTCCTCCTGGCGGGCGTGGCGCGG